TAAAGTCTCTTCCTTAGCACCAAAGGTTACCCTGAATTGTGGCTTATACCCTTGGATAGATTACTTGATTTCTATAAGCTTTAACAGTAAGACAAACTGACAGAGCGGCAAGATTGTTGTACTATGGGAGTTTATGTGTTGCTGTTACGCTGGAAGCTTTGTCACTGGTATTTCAAATGCCAGCAGGGTCACCCCAAGCGAACAGGTTTCAGCAGAGCTTCCAGACTAAGAACAGACAGCAGAGAAGGAGTTGGCTGTCCACCTCAGAGGCATTAGCTATGAAAGACATTATGCATAGCATCAAAACTTGGCCAGATACTGAAGGGCTAACGAAGCAAGCAGAACATGGTCAGAGACGGTGCCAGAAGATGAGCCCTTCAGGCCAGAAGGCGCTCAAACTACGACTGAGGAAGAGCTGCCTCTAAGCGTGCAATTATCATGACTTGGGTGGAGTAAAACTTGTGGGAGAAAAGTTCTGGAGACATTCATTGGCGGATGGTGCATGAGTCAAAATGAGAAGCAGCAGCTGCAAAAATCTACTAACTAGATTCGAGATTCTAAACCTTGGAACATATGAACTAGGAAACCAGGAAAATTGGAAGTTGACCAAAATGAAATGGAACACAAAGGCTATAGATATCCTAGTGGTTAGTGAGCTGCAGCAGACTGGTAGTGGCCATTTGGAAGCAGTAAATCATGTGGTTTACTCTGCTGGAAATGACACAAACAAGAGGAATGGCTTTGAATTCATCTTCAAAAGGGATCATTCAAAGTCCATCTTGGGATATTTCAAAATCCATCCAAAGGGATATTTCAAAACCCATCTTGAAGTACAATGCTGTCAATGATAGGATTATATCTATTTGCTTTCAAGGAAATCCAGTCAATACAACTGTTATTCAAATTCATGCACCAAAAACACGAATGGTAATCCTGCAAAAATTGAATAATTCTACCAGTCTTCAGTCTGAACTCGATCAAATATATCATGAAAATGCATTGACAATTTATTGGTGATTGATTAGAATGAAAAAAGTTGGAAACCAAGTAGTTGGAAAATATGGCCTTTGTGATAGAAACAAAGCTGAACTTCCTACAAAAGAATTTTGCAGGACCAACAATTTGTTCATAACAAATACTTTTTGTCAACAACGCCAACAGTGACTATACTAGTGGATGTCTCCGGGTGGAACACACAGAAATCAAACTGGTTACATCTGTGGGATGAGACGGTGGAGAAACTCAATCGCAGCAGCTAAAGCCAGGCCAGGGGTTGACGGTGGGAACAGACCATCAATCGCTCATAGGTAAGTTCAGTTTGAAGCTGAAGAAAACTAGAACATGTCCACAGGTCAACATAAAACCTTGAGTCTATTCCACCTGAATTTTGCGAATGTCTCAAGAACAGATTTGCTGCCTTGAGCACCGATGACAGACTTGGTGAGCTGCAGGAGGACATCAAGAACATTGTTTATGACGAAAGCAAAAGGTCGCAGGAAAGACAGGAAAGAAAAAAAAAAAGCAAAATGAATGTTAGAAGATAACCTGAAACTTGCTCTTAATCGTAGAGTAGCTAAAGCAAAAAGAGGAAATAATGCCATCAAAAAACTGAACCAAAAATTTCAAAAGGCAGCTTGAAAAGACATAGTAAAATATTATAATTAAATGCATAAAAACTAAGGGTGAGAAAACCAAACAGGAAGAACACACAGCATATCTTAAGTTGAAGGAACTCAAGGAAAATTTTAAACCTTGAGTTGCAATATTGAAAGATTCTGTGGGCAAAATATTTAATGGTGCAGTAAGCATCAAAAGAAGATGGAAAAAATATGTAGAATCACTGTACCAAACAGAACTAGTTCACGTTCCACCAATGTAGGAAGTAGCATATAAGCAAGAACCAGTAGTACTGAAGGAAGAATGCCAAGCTGCCCTGAATGCATTCACTGAAAACCAGGCTCCAGGAATTGGTGGAATACCTATGAAAACTTCAATAATTTGATGAAGTAAGGGGAGCACTCGCAAGTCGACACCAGGAAATTTGGAAGAGAGTTTCATGGTCAGCTGACTGGAAAAGGTCTTTATTTGTACCCACTCCAAAGAAAGAGGACCTAATGAATGCTCAAATTGTAGGACAATTATCATGCAAGTAAAATTTTGCTGAAGGTCATCTAATAACAGTTGCAGCAGTCCATTGACAGAGAGCTGCCAGAGGTTCAGGCCGAATGCAGAAGAGGACTTGGAACAAGAGATACCATTGCTGAAGTCATGTGGGTCTTGGCTGAAAGCAGAGAAGACGAGGAAGATGCTTACTTGTGTTCTGTGACTATGCAAAGCCGTTGGACCATGTGCATCAAAACAAACTATGGATAGCATCGAGAAGGATGGAAATTCTGGTGATGTATTGATTACGAGTTGGGTTGCCATGCACAGGTTCAACACTACCAGCAGCTCCAAGGGAGAAAGGCTGGGCTTTCTACTCCCATAATCTCAGAAACTCACAGGGGGTCACTATGAGTCAGGGTTGACTCAATGGCGGTGCATCTGAGTGAGAATAGTGCTCATGTAGAACTTGTACAGCTTATTAACAACCCACCATCGACAGATGACACAACCTTGCTTGCTGAAAGTCAGGAGGATTTGAAGCACTTGCTGACGAAGATCAAGGATTGTAGCCTTCAGTATAGCTTACAAGGTAATGTAAGGAAGACTAAATTCCCCCAACTGGACCAATGAGTAACACCATCATATCTGAGGAAAGATTAAAGTTGTCAAGTATTTTGTCTTGCTGTCATCCACCATCCATGCTCATGGAAGCAGCAGTCAAGACACCAAATAATGCATTGTGTAGAGTAAATCTGCTACGCAAGTCCTCTTTAAAGAGTTGAAAAGCAAAGATGTTACATTGAGGACTAAGGTAAGCCTGGCCCAAGCAATGGCGTTTTCTTAATGATTTTATTGGGGGCTTTTACAGGTCTTATAGCATTCCATATATCCATCACATCAAGCATATTTGTACATATGTTGCCATCATCGTTTTCTAAACATTTACTTTCTATTTTCCCCCTTGGTAACAGCTCCTCTTTTTCCCCTCCCTCCTCACCATCCCATGCTCATGACCCCCTTGATAAGTTATAAATTATTATTGTTTTACTATCTTGCCATAATATTTTCAATTGCCTCATATGCATGTGAAAGTTGCACATTGACTAAGGAAGACAGAGGAAAAATAGATGCATTTGAATTATGGGGCTGGCGAAGAATGTTCAAAGTACCATGGACTGCTAAAAGGACTACCAAATCTGTCTTGGAAAAAGTATGGTCAGAGTGCTCGTTAGAGGCAAAGATGACAGGACTTTGTCTTACATACTTATGGCACACTGTCTGAAGAAGTCAGTCCCTGGAGAAGGACCTCGTGCTTGGTAAAGTAGAGGCGCAGGGAAAACGAGAAGTCTCTTAAGAAGATGGGTCGGCAATGGCTGCAACAATGGGCTCAAACATAACAATTGAGATGTGATGCAGGGCTGAGCGGCATGTCCTTCTGTTGTGCATAGGGTTGCTATGAGTAGGAACTGACTCCATGGTATCAAACAATAATAAGCTTTGAGAGAAGTACTCTGGTTGCATAGAGGGTTAAGAGTGGGGCAGCTAATAGCAAGGTAAACAGTTTGAAACCACTAGCAGTTCCTCCAGGAAAAGATGATGCTTTCTACTCCCTTAAACCTTTAAGGGAAATTCTAGTTCTACCCTTTCCTATAGGATCACTATGAGTCAGATTGACTTGATAGTAGTTGGCTATTTTCTTGAAGCTTCAACAGCTTGTAGATAATTAGATAAACCTGTTTCACGTTTTTTAGGAGTAAAAGAGAGAATGTATATAAAGTAGTTCTGTACTGTAACCTTCCTGAACCACGCTAACGACTCCATAAATGGTAGCTAGCAATATAGTTGCTGCTGTGTGTTATACAGTCATTCTGACGCATCCCTATATGACAGATTAGAACTGCCCCATAGAGTTTTCTGGGATCCCTAGACTTTTCTCCTGTGGGGCATGGCCCTTCAGTTGGGAGTAGCAGTAGTAAATGCAAGCGTATTCATCTGAAGACATTGTAAATGAAATGTACTATCTTTTGCAGTCCATGAATTATGTGTTACTATGACCTAAACAGCATTACTGTGTTTCTCAGTCATTTCCTGTCCTCAGTGCTTAGTGGTAGCTGGAGATCCGTGCTCGTGCCTTCACACCTTCCTACATTAGAATCGCTGTCTCTAAAGCTTAAGTATTTGATGAATAGTTCCCCAGTTATTTTTGTTGCAATTCAAACCAAACTGGAAATAAGATTCTTTAATGACATGGATTTTTAAAAGTCAGTCAGGAAATCATGTGAGCTGGAGCATCAAGTCTCTCGATTTTTATTAAGTATTACAATTCATCCTTTACTAATGAGTGCAAAAATGCTCCTATCCTGAGCCCTCCAATGTGGTTTGGTTTTCAGGTCAATAGTTTTTTTGACCTGAAAAATAAAAATGTTCAGCTAAATTCAGATTGCTTCTTACAAAATAATAGCTTTAAAAACAAAATGGACTTTTTTGCACATTCAAAATTTCACCTTGAAATTAGTGGCATAGTAAGATTTACACAAGAGAATTAGCCAAAGACTGTCAATATTCTAAGGTCTTCACTTGGTGAATCAGACAAGCTAGCATTGTCTTTCATGGAAGAAAACAAGTTAAAAAACACTGATATCCATTGAATGCGAAAGAACTAGTCTACAGCTTTATTTATGATTACATTTTATTAGTTCATTATATTTCAAGTTAACTTCTTAGTAAATGAAGGCAATGATGCGAGAGCACTATTAGATCAGATCTACCAAACAGAAGCTTTTAAGTCTCTTACCAAAACTTTGATAAAAAGAGATTAAAGGTTCTCTTTTTCTAGAATGTGCTTGACCCTTCAGAAACCGATCATAACCATGTGTTTTTAAATTATTTAATAGGTGGTAACATGACGACACCGCCTCTCCTCCTCGGTCAGTGAATTTGAGTCATCTTTCACCAAGTCCCATCTCGTTTCACCTCGAATGGAATGTATCTCTCTGTCTGTTGTTAGACTACGATGACATGTCTGCAGCCATCAGAAAGAGAAGCTGGGAAGAGCATGTGACCCAATGGAGGGGGCTGCAGTGTAATTCGGATGATTATAACACAGCATGTCATCATGGACTAGCAGCTGACAGCTTGCAGGCAAGTATGGAAAAGGATGCAAGTCTACATGTGGACCGCAAAGAGAAGTGTGTTTCTTTACCGGATTGTTGTCATGGATCAGAGCTAAGAGATTTCCCTGCAAGGCCAATGGGCCACGCTTCAAAGGAGATAGATGAAAATGATAGTCATGAAGGTGACGGCCAATTTCTTTCTCTGGAGGCCAGCACAGAAACATTAGTGCATGTGTCTGATGAGGATACTGACTCCGATTTGTACATGACAGATGATAAACAAATCTTAGCTACTCAAAAGCGTGAATTATCAGACCAACAGATGGGCAAAGGAGCAGGCTCCTTGGAAAGGACCCCGCCCATCATGGAGAGTAACCAAGATTCATGTAGCTCCTGGATTATGGCAGGTGAACCTAAATTGACACCAGTAGCAGAAAGAAGGGAGAGACCAATGGCTGACCCTGTCAAGACAAGCCTGGAGCTCTGTCATGACAAAAGCTTAAGTGAAATAAAAGATGCATCACAAGTAAATGCACGTGACGCTTTGCATGTGAAAGAGATTGTGCCTGAGAAGCAATTGCTAAATACTGCCGTCATTGCTCAGCAACGAAGAAAATCCGACTTCCCTCAAGATGGACATGCAAGAAACCCCTGCATCACACATGATGAGTGCTCTGCTCCGCCCAGCACAGAGCGAGGCCTGCCATTATCAGAAGCAGATCTTGGAAGCTGCCTTCTGCAGCCTCCTTCCGGCCCCAGTGGAATGTCAGCCGAAAATGGCCTGCAGGAGCATGGTTTCACAGAACATCAAAACAGCAGTCTTTCAAAGGTCACCACTGGAGATGGCATGCAGTGTTTACTCTTACAGGAGACTCTGGCCACCCAGGAACCTGCAGATAACCAAGTGAGACTTCGCAAAAGAAAGGTAAGTCATGCGTTGATTAGATGGTTTTCACATTTTTGTAAATACCCTTTTTGTTGTCGATTATTTTGTTTGGACTAAAGAGAGAGTTAGATGTTTCATTTTCCTTGCAATCCAACTTCATAGCCCAAAGTATATCTTCTTTGGTGAAATACAAATATTAAAATATAATAAACAACCCATTTCACTAATAATCTGGATCATGCTTTTCAACCTTCTATTCTGAAACTGTGTATGAGGACAGTTGATAGCATTTTTTTTAGTTGGAATTGAATAGCCACAAGATTGCTCATAGTTGTGTAGCTGTAGGCCTGTGAAGAGCGGTCTCTGATTGTTAGAAAGTTGTGATCGTTTTATTACGTCATTCATTTGGACATATTTCTTATTTCTTTCAAAGATGTATTTTCTGTTTACAAATGTGCTATGAGTCGCGCATTAAATATAACCCCTTTACATATGCAAGGCAGCAGCATCCTCTCTCCGCAAATATGCTGATCTTATTTTAACTGGCACTGTGGCATTCAACATCAATAAATACATCTGTGGAATGAATGAGCTGTTCAGTTGTTGGTCTTTGTTTTGTGGTAAACTTTTCTTTAATTCTTGACCCAAATGGTGCCAACAACTGAAAGGATCTTTTCAGGTCCAGGCCCTTTGGCTGATCCTGTAGGTGCTGTGTTCCACTGGGCTACTGACATGGGAGGACCCCTTCATGTGACATTAAAATGTACATCTTAGACCTTCTTTAATGTAGGACATAATTGTACATAATTGCGATTCTCCTAAACACAAAATTAAATTTCTGTTCTACTGAGGTTATTGAACATGGCAAAAAAAAAATTTTTTTTTTAAATCCAACTCAGCTTTGTGTGTGGTGAAAAATCTGTTTCTATAAACTGTGGTTTTGCTAACAAACTAGATCAGTGATGCATCATAGTTGTTTAAGTTAAGTCAAAGATTTCACAGAAAAAAATCAATGTGCTTCAAAACTACATGCTGACCCAACTGTGTGTGCTCCTGGCAACGTCTCTCCTCCTTCTGTACATTGGATTAAAGCGGTCGTGCTCCACAAAGCTGTTAGGACTGAACCGAGCAGGTTGCTTTTTCGGAAATTTCCATACATTCTATCAAATTTGTTGGAGGGAATGCAATAATGACACAAGTATTAACTGGCCTGTGACACAGCATCCTAAAATAAGACCAAATCTGAACAACTGGTGACAGAAACATTAAACATTCCAGAGGCATATGCTCACCACTTGCACATTGATATCAATATGAAAGAATGCTGGGGAGAATTTAGTCTTGGCCATGTCATATAGCATGGTTGCATTCTGAGAACTGTAATTATATCTTATTTACAAGTCTAACTTAAATACTCTCTTTTAAGAACTTTGTCATCCCTAAGTGTGGTGGCATTGTCTGCTAGAGGATTTTCTTGGATACTACAACTCATTTTGAATGTCAGGTAATTAGCAGATCAAATGCATTTTAGGCTTGGAAGTTACTGTAGGGGAAAAAAAAGAGATTGTGGGGAAATCCCTGAGAAGTAAAATGTGAAGGCATTTTATTGTTTTATTTGATATTAACAGCTGTATTAAAAATGACTTTGAGATGGTGCTTAGCCCTTTTAGAACTTTACCAAAAGATACAACATAATTAATTTATGAAAAAATGTATATATATGCGTTCATCACTAGACGTCAATGCTTTTAACGAAGAAGAATGGCTACAACCTCAATTCCATGAATAAAGCACTTGGTTATTTTTATTTATCCAAAATATGGAGTAACATGTAGCCATTAATAAGATGGAGTGAAATCTATTTATATGTTCAAACTATGAAAAATACTTGCAGTACCGTTCTATGCATGGGAAGGAAGTGGCAGACCAAAATGGCAGACCTTATATGGCAACTCATTTAAATAGATCCAAGTATCTAGGTATGTACTTAGAGATTAAACTTGTATAGGCAGGTTATAGCAACCCATTGCCATTGCCCATTGCCCATTTCTGCTCCTAGAGACTCTAGGCTGTACATCTCTACAGGAGCAGACACCTTCACCTTTGTCCCTCAGAGGAGATGGTAGATTTGAACTGACAACCTTTTGATCAGCAGTCCAATGCTTACCCAAGAGTGCCACAGTGTAAATATCTTTATATTTCTGAATTTGAATTAGCAAATTCTGTATAAAGTGCACTGGTTTATCTGGGCTGATAGAGTTCAAAGGTAAAAACAAGGTATTTTAATTTTTACCCTAAATAATTTTTGTAAAAATTGATAGAATGATGAGTGAAATGCATAGTGTATAATAAATCGTATTAGATATGTATTTTTTGGAGAATTTTTATCGGCATTTTAAAGGCATAGTAGAACCCTTTATCAGCGCCATTATTGTTGTTACTTTTATGAAGTGGAAACTAAAAATGTATGAAGGTTTTGAAAATACCAACAAGAGCTCTCTTACCAACTGCTATATTCCTTGCACAAATTATGGGTGTAAATCTGCCCTTCTAGAGAAACGTATAAGGCACCTTTTCATGTCTGCAGTATACCAGATGCCAGATGCTGGAAATAATGTGCTTATTTTTTAATACTCTATGCCTTAAACATTTTGTCATTCAGGGTGAATTGAAGCCTTCGAAAAATCAAATCAAAAAAAGCAAATAAAATTCTTATCAGCTAGTCATGAATGAAACCATTCCTTCATTGAGTTTATGGTCATGGATAACGTGTCAGGATAGAACCAAGGTTCCAAGACTTGGAGAAAACAAACAATAAAATGAACAATTTTTTAAAATAAACAATTAAAAAAAAATAAAACCTCACAGTGCTAATCTGAGGGATCCTCAGAATGCATTGGAACAGTGCTTTAAAGATATCACTGTCCTTTAGAAATAAAATGCCAGCCCTGAGAAATCTGCAGTCCTTGGCAGACATGCATTGTTTCACGTGATGAAACTTCTCTGGTTTCCCAGTGCAATTCCTGTACATCTGCTTTGTTGGGCAACTCAATTGGACATGACTGACATAGTCTTATTAATAAATATTGATCCTTTAGGTGAATAACATCTACTAAATATAGTGAAATATATCATGAAACTGGAATTTATGAAATATAAGGAAAATAAGATGGATTATGGGCAGTTAGAAGGTCCTGGGGCATGTCACTACCGCTCCTAAGACATGGCTACGTCACTAGAGCCAGAGAGATGGTTAAAAGCAATTCTTGACATCTGATTCCAAAGAAGTGTGGAGGATGGCGACTGTCTCTTTAAACCACATAAAATGTGAAGAGAGAAAATACATCAGGAATAACACCTTTGTAAGAAATAATGCAGTTGCTCTTGATGGCGGTTTGCTAATTAAACAGAACTGAAAATTCAGTGTTCTCTAGAGACTATTCAAGTATGTTCTCAAATATTCAATAAGTGTAATAGTTATATAAATCTACTTACATTTAAATTGCACATTTAAGACAAGAAATAAATGTATTGCAAAGAAAAACAACTCCAAAAGATGTCACAAAAATCACCTGAAACCTCCAATTCCAATAAATAAACTAAACATTTTAGTCTAGTTTTATTGCCCTGTGTTAGCTTGTCATTTGGCTTCTGTAACATAAAGTGAATATAACAATGGCTCAAGAAGGTCTCCGTCACTCTACATTACGGTTGGGTATTAGCAGTCCTAGACCGATTACAAGGTCCTAGGTTTTTAGAGGCATCCCTAAATAGTGAAAACAGTCAACACATTTGGCCACTAACCAAAAGGCTGATGCTTCTATCCACCCAGAAACACCCGGAAGAAAGGCCGAGTGATGCATTTCTGAAATATCTGACATTGAACACTCTGGACACAGTTTGGTGACACAACGAGGGTTCCCGTTATTGGGAATGTCCTTGACAGCAACTGCTTTGGTGGTTCCGATTCCGATTCCTGAGCTTCTCCCATCTAAGTGCCTTGCCACCCTGACCCTTATTCATATGCAAGTGAGAAGAGGAAAGGGTGCCAGGCCAGCTACATCCCAAGATGCCCGTATTTCATTTCCTCTCATATTTCCGGGTCTAGAACCTAGCTGCACCATCACATGTTTGTCGTGGTCAGGGGCCATGGAAAGGAGTCTGCATTCTTAGTGTGCATGTACCAATTAAAGATTGTATTATTAAGTAAGAAACAGAAAGTTGTACTGAGGAACCATTCATATTCTTTGCCATGTTGTTGTTTGGTACCATTGAGTCGGTTCCAAACCATAGCGACTCTATGCACCAGAGAACAAAGCCCCGCCTGTGCCAGCCTCACAATGGTCCCTATGCTTGAGTTCGTTGTTGCAGCTACTATGTCAATCCATCTCATTGAGGGCCTTTCCACTGCCCCTCTACTGTACCAAACTTGATGTCTTTCTCCAGGGTCTGGTCTCTCCTGACAGCATGTCCAAAAGTATGTGAGGCAAAGTCTCTCAGCCTAAGGAGCACTCTTGCCATACTTATTCCAAGACAATTTTGCTCGTCCTTTTGACAGTGTATTTTCAACATTCTTCACCAGCGCCACAATTCAAAAGCATTGATTCTTCTTTATCTTCCTCATTCAATGTGTCATATTGCATATGAAGTTATTGCAAATAGCCTGGCCTGGGTCAGACACATCTTAGTCCTCAAAGTAGCATCCTTGCTTTACAGCACTCTAAAGAGGGCTTGTGCAGCAAATTTGCGCAATGCAGTGATCTCTTGACTGCTGCTTCTGTGAGCATTGATTGCAGATCCAAGCAAGGTGAACTCCTTGACAACTGTAGTCTTTGCTCCACCGATCAGGATGTTACTTACCTCGTGGTCCACCGGCGATGATTCTGGTCCTCTTTCCGTTGAGTTGTCGTCCATACTGAAGGATGCAATCCTTGATCTTCATCAGAGAGCGCTTCAGGTCTGCCTCACTTTTAGCAAGTAAAGTTATGTCATCTGCATATTGAAGGTCGTTAATATACCTTCCTCTGATCCTGATGTTC